TCTCATACTTTGGCTGTGTTGTCAGAAGGGCCCAGTCCCTGGAGAAGGATATCATGTTTGATAAAATGGAGGGTCAAAGAAAAAGAGGAAGACCCCCAATGAGATGGATTGGCACAGTGACAGCAGTGATGGGCTTAAATATAGCAACAATTATGGGATTGGCACAGGACTGAGCAGTGTTTCATTCTGTTGTGATAGAGTCACTATGAGTTGGTACCAACTTTATGGCCCCTAAGAACAACAACAATGACAACATGTCTGGTCTTGTCATAGGTAAACCACAAGGCATTTGTGAGTTTTACCTAAGTCTATAGGGGCAGGTGGTAGCAAAGATCAGTTGTTTCAGAGTTAGGTGTCATCAGTCAAATCCCAGGAGGAATGAGAGGAGCATGTTTCACATTTTATAAGTACTTGCTCAGCCTTGGGGGTTAGCAGAGTTCAGGAGTTGGTAGGGAGAAAAGCAGCCAGGCTACAGTTTGGTTAAGACAAAGCAGAGGGTAAAAATTGGGCAATGATGAACAGCTGGCCAGTGTCAAGCTCTCCAGACACTGGGAACACAGCCAAGGACTTAACCAGGGGGTCAGCGAATACTTTCCATAAATGGCCAGATATTTTAGGCATTGAGAGTCATATAGACTCTGTCATAGCCTTTGTGGTAGGAAAGCAACTCTGAACAATAACAAATGGACATGATTGTACTCCAACAAAATCAGGCAGTGAACAGATTGGGCCTATAGAATGCAGTTTGCTGACCGGGTGGGAAGGATAAAAGATGGACAAAGCAGATGAATATTTAACACCAATCTTGTTATTTATGTAGAAGAAACAGCACAAGTGCCAGAAGAGGATGTAACTGTGTGGCAGGAACGGAGCGTTGCCACCACCATGAGGCCCTGGCTTCTTTCCTTCTATGGCCTGTGCCTCTCATGCTCCAGTTCAAAACTATGGTGAGGGCTGTGCCATCTAGGTCTTATCAGAATCCCGCTGGTGAGAAGAAAGGCTGTTGCTGTCTTTCTATGGTGCTCAGCTTATGGCTGCCAGACAGGGGGTGATTGTAATGGGTGGCAGAACGTGGAGGCTCTATGCACCTCAACTTCAAAGAGGACAGATCTAATGTCCCCTGTCTGTATATTGGGCATCTGTGTCAGTTTTTAATATGAAGAAATTGTTCTATTTGTAAAATTCTGAAAGCCACAGCATCTCAGGAGCTCTTGTTTTGATGTATGGCCCCATAATGAAGCAAGCCTCTTGGCTGCCCCTCATCATGAGAATGTTTTGGGGTATGATATTAGCAAGACCCGCTTTTCATCATTTCCTTGTATCTTCTGTACATTGTGAATCCTGCAGCTAGGAGTGTCTTCTCATTTTGACCACTCAGAAACTTAAATGGCCAAAGTTGAGGTCTACCTCTGTTGGTCCATGCCTATGTGTGCTAGTTGATGTCTAGCTGTATTATTTAGAAGTCCATTCCTTCCCCATTTTAAATTTCCTCAATTATTTACATGTAGCTTTTCATATTTATACACTAATGTACTCTTTATTCAGTGGAATAAGCTGTATGAATAAGAAAGTACGAACAGCCCTTTGGAGTTTTCAGGATAATAATAATAAAAAACAAACATCAGGCATGAGTCACTTTACCTATCAATTAAATGGGAATTTACTAGCTGGTATGAATGCTGAGAAGGTAGACCCAGGGAACCATGAAACCACTCACCAACCTAGAGGAGGTCAGGGAGTGCTTCCCTGAGAAAGATGCATTTCAGCTGAGCCTAAAGGATGAAAGGAGGACAGCTGGCGGGAGAGCAGTATATACAAAGGCCCTGGACTTAGGCTTTATCCTTACATAAGGGTCTTGCCAAAACTTGCTTGTGCTATTTCCAGAGGTCATCAAAGAGTTTGCTTGCAAGATGGTGTTCAGAGAGTGGCCAGATAACCTAGCTAGTGTCCTCTGTGAACTTGCCAACCAGGGCCAGTTCCTGTGGTGAATAGAGGGGCTACTCCAAGCTTAGGGCAGCACCTTCCCTATAGATTGGCCTTCCCCATATCTAGACAGGGAGTTAGGATCCTGCCTGTGTCTATACCAAGTGGGCAGTTAACATTCACCCATTCTGTAAACATCTGTCCTAAAAATGCTCTCTGAGTCAGACTAAAACTATTGTTCAATGAACTATTAAACCCAAAGGAAGAGGGCCTCCTATACCTTGGTATTAACTGGGACCAGGAAAAACTATTGGTTTGTAGATAGCAACAAAGAAACACTTGTGAGTGTAAATTTATAATAATGATATTTTGTTGAGTCCACATCTGACCATAGGCCAGACCATTTGAATTGGGAAATGAGGTGTGAAGTCAGGGGAGACGTACACCTTCAATAACTGTGTAGAACTGTCCTGTGAACCCCCATGTCGTTATACAATCCCACAAACCCAGGATATTCAATGGCTTTGAGTTGGTGTCCTAGCAACCTAGTTGTTGTTGTTAAGTGCCATCGAGTCGCAACCTAGTATAGAACCTTATTACTTCATCTGTGGCTCAGGGGTAGGACATTGGCTCACTGGGGACCCATCTCAAACCTGTTGAATCAGAATCTGCATGTTAGCAAGACCCACAGAGATTCACATGAATATTAACTAATGTCTGAGAAGCATAGATATATCAAAGTTGGATATACCACAGGTTGGAATTCAAATTCAAGCTCCAGTAGTCAGGTGACTTAGAGGGTGCTCTCAAATTTTTGTGAACTCAATATTCTCATGTGTATACTGGGTTAATATAAATCCCTTTACAGGGTAGAAGACATGGAGTTAACGACCAATATACTTGGAAGTTAAGTATGAATTTGGGAATAACACAATAACACACAATTTAAATCCCAGCTTTTCCTCGCATGAGCAAGTTACTATATCAAGTCTCAGTTTCCCTCATCTGTAAATGGAAGCAGTAATAGTACCCACCTGAAAACGTTGTTGTGGAAATAGTTAATGCAAGTGTGTAAAGTGTCTGATATGTGATAAGAATGATATACGTAACTATGATAAAGATGCTGATACTTGTAAAATTCTTAGCATCACACTTGATTCCTAGCAGATGCCATTTAAAATACTGATTTCCTTCCCCCATAGCTACTATGCGATCTTTAATCAGATGCAATGTTGCCACATTGATTCCTGAGGTAAGAGCATACATTTGTGAGGCGGCTGTCCTACAGAATCCAAATCCAAATATAGATTTATTTTTTAACTTTGGATTTTAGATGAAAAATCTTATAAATATATAACATCAAGTACAATTTATATACAAATTTGGATGATTGTATTTGGATAATCAATATAATTAAGCTAAAAGACATGAAGATTACACTAAAAAATTTAAATGTATAGTCACCATATGGGATAGAAAAGTGTTTTTTAATAAAAACATTATTGATTGATTGATTGCCAAGAGAGTTGAATGTATTGTATTTTTGTTATTTATTCTGTATGCTAAGGGTATTTTTTTAAACTTTTTTGTGTGAAATGAATGAAGGTTAACAGACAAGACTGTCAGCTTCACATTGAACAAATTATATGCTTTGTTTCATGTCAATGATTATAATTCCCTCCCTGCAACAGCAGTTATCCTATTTTCTCCCCTTGGCTTCCTTTTTACATCTTATATTTTACAAATGAACAAAGTAAAAATATTTGATGTACACATGCAAAGCAAAAAGTATATATTCATTTAAATGTCCTAATGTTCCACAAGCCAGCCTTGTACATGCAGGCATACAGCCTTACTCAGTTCATGGGCCTAGAGCCCGCAGCTGCTCCCTCTCTCCACGCCAACACCTCTGCCACAGTCTCTGCTGTCACCACTTTTCTAGGTAGGATCTCACTCTCTACTCATACTCTTCCTTCTTGATGGTCTTGAGATCCTCTGTTCCTGAAATGAAAGATTAACTACTCCCTCCTTTTAGCTACACATCTTGTACAATCACAGTTGTGACAATAATAATTAATCTTGCAAAAAATTACTCACAATTGAATCCTAAAATCCAATTAGCATCATGAGATAGAAATTTTATATAACAGTTCACTTTTGAATATATCTTTACACATAAATGTAGCTTCCATTTCTCCCATTTCCAAATATCATTTTGTCTCAGGGAAACCAAAGGAACACCTCCAAGACACTAGAGCTCTTGGATGAACATGAGACTTGGGCATATTAAACTCTTGGTGTTATGTTCTATTAAGGTCCCAGCTATGGTGAGGCATGGTGAGGCCACAACCAAGCCTCAGGTATCTGCTATATTGAGTTTTAGGAATTATTTCTTTTAGATATAATTTACTATCATCTCTGCTTACAGATTATTGTAGAGTCCAACCTAGTCACAGTTTCACTGGGGTTACCACTGGGAGGGCAAATGTGAGGATTTGACATTCTTTAAGGTGACACTGGAATCACTTCCAAGAACAGACAGGTCTCTTGTTTCTGTCTCAAAATTTGAGGAAGACTGACAGCAAACAAACACAGACTTGGAGGAAAGCATTGTTCACAGCTTGTGGTAGTGGTACCAGGGCAGGGGGCCCTGGTGCTGACTTCCTCTTCCTCTGATACTGAACCACACAAACTTTCTGTGTGAGTTCACTTCACTCTGTGCTTTATCTGGACTCTTTCCAATGCTTCTTCAGCAAATTGTACCCTGTGAAGAACCAATGCCTCCCTTATCATGTTTTTTGGTTATTTGTCCTACTTTTCTCTTTCAGAGGACCGCTGCCAAGGTGACAAGTCAATGTTTTGTAGAATGGAAGTCTTGTCTCGATACTGCTCTATCCCAGGCTACAACAAGCTCTGCTGCAAGTCCTGTAACCTATACAACATCAGCAACATAGATAACAGGACAGAGCCACCACCTGGGAAAAACAATGACATTGAAGGGCTCATGCCCACCCTCCCAGTGCCCACAATAGTCATGGATGTTCAGCCTTCAGCAGATTCCTCCTTGGAAGTCCCACTCAATGCCTCCAGCACCAATGCCACTGAGGATCACCCAGAGACCAATGCTGTAGATGTACCCTACAAAATCCATGGTCTGGATGATGAAGTCCAGCCTCCCAACCTAATCCCTCGACGACCGAGCCCATATGAAAAGACCAGAAACCAACGAATCCAAAAGTTCATTGATGAGATGCGGAAGAAAGAGCTGCTCGGAAAGTTCTAATAAAATGGAAAGATAGCATCAATAGCATTTTTTTTTTTTCTTGCTTATACAGATATTCCATGTGATAGCAAATCCTGTCATGAAGATGAAGTCCAAATTCTTGATTCCAAAAGGTTTTGTGAAAGAGGGAGATGACATAAAAAATGTGTGAGTATGGGCCAGTTGGACTAGCACATGTGTTTTCCAACCATGGATGGTCTAAATCCTATGCTGCCAACCCAAGGAGGAGGGTTGTGGGTGTTGGCTGGAATGGAATATGGAGGTTCTGTAACATCTATTAATGAGTAATGTGATAACTAAGAGGTAAAACATTTGCCTCAAGTTTATTACCAGTGATTGAGAAATCTTCCTTTCCTTGATGGTAGTAATCCTTCTGAGACCCAGGATACTTCCTGCAAATCCCCAGACCAAGGAACAAGACCAATGGGGAGTCTTAAGAGAAACGATGGTTTCTTTAATAATTGAACAATTACTAAGAGGAGCAAAACAAAGTGGAGGTTGTGAATTTTAATACTTCAAGGGTCATGTAGGTGATAAGGATGAGTGTAGTGTCCAGTTGGGGGCTGTAAGCAACCTGAAAGCCATGGCCATCTAGAGCTAGTTTCAGCTCCTGCCATTGCTGTCATGTGTAGATAGCCTGCTTTTTCAGAAGGAGTCAAATGTCTAGATTTTCATGTGAAAACTCTCAAATTTTAAGGGTCATTTCAAAATATTTTAAAGGGGGTTCTTGTGGGCATCTGTGAGACTCTAGAACCACCAGATTAAAACCTTTGATTCAATGTTGGCTTGATACAGTTTTGCTAGCTAAGGACATAAGAAAATCCTTTAACCCTTTTGGTGCTTACATTGTACTACATAGGACTATCTCATTCAAATTTGAGCTGTATGGCAGTGAATTTTTTTTTTTTTTCAGGAAAGTAGTGAAAACCCTACAACCAAGGACACATAGATCTAAATGATGGGCCATGTTCTCTGCTTTAGAAGAGAACAACATGGGGCTCTCCCAGAGTCTCTCTCCCCATCTAACTCTGGTCTTAATTGCTTTCTCCCAGGCTCTAGTAGAAAGCCCTGGCACTCTCCTCTGGTTAGCCTGGCCTTGGATCCCAGCTTTCCCATAGAATCTGTAGTGGAAGGATGAAGGAGGCACACATTCTGCAGGGAAAGTCCCATGAATCTCTCAACCTAGAGGGGCCTGACCAGGGTTGCCAAGTCCAAAGGTTCTGATATCCTGGGTTTGGGGGACTGAGGTTGGCTCCTGAAAATCAGCCTTGCTTGTAAAGAATAACTTTTCTTTGTCTAGCTCTTTGAAAGTCTCCCTTTTCCAGTTCTACTCTATTTTCAACATTTGTTAAGTGCTATTGAGTTGATTCTGACTCATGATGACCCTGAATAGAGCTTCCAAGGAGTGGCTGGTGGGTTTGAACTGTTAACCTTGTGGTTAGCAATACAGTGCTAATCCTACAGCACCACACCAAGACTCCCTTTGGGGACTCCAAAGTTCCAGAACCCAGAAAGATTTAATCTCTGATGAGAGGCAAAGTGAGAGATGGGAGAGGTGGTCTGTCCTTTCTTTAATTTGCTCTTTCCAAAGTTTAACAACTTTGTTTCATCATAATGGTGCTTTGTGAGCAATATGTAACTTAGAAAGAAACAGGAGCAAAAAGGAGGGCGTATGGGAGAACGTGACTAATTTTTTACTCTTCACTATATCAGTGTTTTGTGAACATACAGTTTAAACTTCTCCAAATTATAAGACTCAGGGGACACATTAACTCCTCGCCTGTTGCAACTCTTAAGTTTTAGATGTCTAGGAACATTCTAGAAGCTTTATGTTTTCTCCAGTCATAGATCTTAGCAATTTTTCTTGTTGAATTCCCCATTATATGAATGAGTACACTAAGACTCAGGTAATAGCATAATGGTGAATTTGTACTGAGTTTTGCGGTGCTAAGTACATTTATTTGTCTGACTCTGCATATGTGTCTGGTGTGTCTGTGTAGTCTAAGGAACACAGTGAAACAGTTGGAAACAGTGAGAACTTCTGGGACTGACACTTAACTTTCAAACTGGTGAAGCTACTACAATGATAATGACCACACACACAGCCTCACTCCCACTGCTGCTAGCACTTTCCACACAAGCCCATACCACAGGAGTTTGCTGTCTCCTAAGAACGAAAGGCGCTCTGGTAGCGAAGTGGTTACGAATCGGGCTGCGAACCTTAAGGTCAGCAGTTCGAAACTACCAGCTGTTCCATGGGAGAAAGATGAGGCTTTCTACTCCCGTAAAGATTTACACCCTCGGAAACCCTGTACAGGGTCGCTATGGGTCGGAACCGACTCGATGGCACTTAACAACAAGAACGAAACTAGAGAAACACTTCAGGCTTTCTCTCACAATATCACTGTTTAGCACTTTTGCAATCCTTCCTGGATTAGAAAAGGGATTCCACTGCTTTCCTTATTTGCTGAACCCTTAGCAGCTGGTACCATTCACAAGCTCAAGGACTGAGCATTTTTTGCTTGGGTTTGTCCTAGAAGGTAGAGGGAGTTAAGGACCAACCTTATACCTACCTGTTACCATCTAGTCAGTCTTGAATGATAGTGACGTATAGCACAGAGTAAAACTACTCCATAGGGTTTCCAAAGCTATAGTAGTCATAATATTTAGAGAAGCAGACTCTTACCTTTCTCCCATGGAGTAGATGGTGGGTTCCAACCACTGATCTTTCAGTTACCAGTCAAGCACTTAAACACTGTTCTACTACCATGCCCTACCAGTACCTTCCCATGAGTCCCTATCCTCTACTGGAGGGAGAAAGATGCCTTGTGGGAACTGTAGGCTAGCTTGGCTTACACTGTCATTCTCAGTGCTTACACCAGACATCTAAGAGTTTACTAGAACTAGATGTTTCTCAGAAGTATCTGTCCAAGGTATGCAGAGTTCACCTGGCTCTGAGAAATTGTGCCAAATCTCTTTTGAAAATGGGAGCAGGTGTAGAGTAAGCTTCCAAAGCCAATTTCTGTGTCTTAGGTGCTTCTGGAGCCTGGAGGAAGCAGACTGGTATCATTTCTGACTCCCTGTTGAGACACAGAAATCCTCTTTTGTGTCTGTAGCACTGGGAAGTCAGCTGAGGTGACTGAGAACCACTTCTCAGTTTGTTGGGAGACTCCTGCTAGATCTTTGGGACTGGCTCTGATTTACCCCTTTTGGTAAACCCATGGAATTTATTGTAAAAGCCTTTCACTTGCATTTTAAGGTTTTATTTTTTGCATATAAATGGTGCTCAATAGTAAAATCTTTATCTGATGAAGTATTATGACTCTACTTACTCCTATATGACAGGTGCCTACCATACAGAATCACCACGGTGCTGAACTCAAACCACAACATTTTATTTTACTAACAACAACAATCAATCCATGTTTGATGTATATTAAAATTTGACTTCTTAGCCTTATAACTTATTAAAGTTAAAATATCTGTGTTTCGCAAATTATGTCTGTTGTGTTTGTTTGTTACCTTAACTACTCTTGCTCCCTATCCCAGGCTAACTTTGTGGGTTTGCCTTCAGATGGCCAAGAGGTTAGGGTGGGGAGCACCAGCACTGAACTGTGACTGCTCAAATCAGGTCTTTGTGGAAAGCAAAACCACCACCCTCGTGCTCCCCATGGAGTTTTCTCTCCCAACATGGACATGACTGAGCCAAGAACCCCCAACTAAACAGTTCAGTTCATGGAAGAGATAAAGACTCACCAGATACCTTCTCCTCCCTGAATACTATCCCTCATCTCTTAAAATTAGAGTTGCCAAGAGAAAAACAAAAACAACCAAAATTTAGTTAAATTTGAATTATTGAGAAATAATAAGTTTTTAGTATTAAAATAGATCATACTTAAACTTTAAAAAATTGTTGTTTCTCTGAAATTCAAATTTCACTGACAGTCCTATATTTTTATTTGCTAAATCTGGTAACCCTGCCTATAGCCAATATTCCTCTATTAAAGAAGAAGAGGTATTTAAAGGTATTGGTGGAACTGGGGATTGGAGGGCAGAGGGGAAGACTTCTGATATCCCTGGACAAGTAGGAGGCAGTCAGTTGTGTACACAATGCTAGAGAGGATATCAGATACCTTACTATTTAGAACGGAAGTTGGAGATGGCTTCAGAACACACAAGATTCCCTACCTTGTTTTGACTCAGTTTGCAGAATGCAGTTAGTCGTTTATAATGGGAACGAGGCACTTGGATAAGTGTGTGAGAGTATAATACGAGGATTAGGGAAAGGAAGTGGGGTTGGGTAATGAGAAACTGGCTAAGGGGAAATATTTGCAAAGGTAAAGCATAACTGGATAATCCAGTGAGGTTGATTTAGGAAAAAAAAAAAACTTCTGGGTAATCATGGGAGTGGTAAGGAAGACACAATCTGTTCTTTCTGAAGAATGTTGATAAATGGTTAAGAGAGATTGAATTATATAATTACAAAAGTATTGGCCCATGGAATCCTCTGGAAACAGTCATAGTGCAGCCACACTGGGGTAATAACCAATGGCTTATATCCATCCTATTGTTCATTATTAGCCATGGGAATATTTGTTCTTTTTATTAGTCGCCATTGAACTGATTCTGACTCATAGCAGCCATTTTAAATGTGCCTATGATCAGTTGTTCCAACACCATTTGTCAAAAACATAATTTCCCCAGTATGCAGCCTTTGTATCCAGAGGCCCCTACTTCTTTAGCTCTCTATATAGACTCCTTGGTGGTGGTAGTTGGTGGTTATGTGCCGTGGAGTCGGTTCTGACTCATAGAGACTCTGTACAAGGTTTCCGAGGCTGTAAATCTTTACAGGAGCAGAATGCCTCATCTTTCTCCCATGGAGCAGGTGGTAATTTCGAACTGCTGACCTTGTGGTTCGCAGCCCGATTCATAACCAC